AAATTATAGATATTGTTTAGTAATTGTTGAAATATTTGATTTATTAAATTTAAAAATATTCAATTTATGAATCTGTAATAAAAATTAAACAGTATCTCGCATAGTGCGGCTTCGATTAGTCCGGATTCATAGTTCAGTATGAAATTTTCGAGACAAACTTAAATTATAAAAAAAAGTTATACAGTCAAGTTTCATTATGTGAAGTTTATTTATTTTTCGATTAGTCCGGTTTCAAACAGTCCGGGTCAAAAATTTGTGAAAGTATTTTGATAAATATTTATCTTAGTGAATAAATTTAATGTTATTTCAATTTAATCTACATATTAATTAACAATCAATAATTAACCTCAAGAGCTTTAACATAACGATTTTTTAAATGATTAACAAATTTATTTCACAAAATTATGTAATTATGCATGCGAGTAGTATAAATTCAACTAGATAGCTCAATGGATTTTATAGGTAATTTATTAAATTAAAATTAGTCCCCGTTGAGCCATATTTTCTTGCGTAAAGCTTTACGAGGTCGTATTGTATCCAAATGTATGTGATGTCATCCAGTTTTGGAGGGAGAAAACGCAAGTTATGTTTATATACGAAGCTCGTATGCTTCCGAATAACCTATTATGTAAGAAGATCCGTTCTTTCTTTTTTTATCTTCGGCTTTACGTTCCAAACCGGAGGCGATGCTGAAAATTGCTATTGGCATTGGATGAATATATTTTTGTTTGTCTCTGAAGATTCTTCAAACCCCAAGGACTGAAAGTCATATTGAAGTTATTACTTTTTTTTTATTGTAAACCATAATTCAAAATTGCCTTTGTCTTTGGAGAATATTTTTTACCAGTGATTGGCAACGTTCTTGAAGCAAAGAGTAATTTCAACATATAAAATAATGAAATATAAAATAGTCTTTGGTATCATTAAGATCGCTATTTTTACTAGTGAAATGAATTTTCCAATATAACCTTTATAAAAACCAATCTGGGTACAATTTTTCATCAAAAGAGCCGCATGCGGCTCCGGAGCCGATTTACAGTTCTCTTTTAATAAATTCAATAACCAGTATGAATTTTATAAATTTCATATTGAAGTTATTATACCATGATTTAGAATTGCACTTTCTTTAAAGGATATTTTGTATCATAGGTCGGCAACGTTCTTTCAAAGAGCCTTTCTTAACATATTGTCTGTCTTTTAACAGTAGTCTAGGGAGCCTCACGTAGCAGATGATCGTTATTTTTACTAATGAAATGAATTTACCAATATAACCATCATAGACAGCTGCAATTTCTCAAAAGAGCCGCATGCGGCTCCGGAACCGCTCTATCGTTTCTCTATTAATACATTCAATAAATTTTATGAAAAACGAACAATATTATATTTTTTATACTTTTTTTTATTAGTTTTTATGTAACTTTATTATTCAATTAAATTTAAATTTCTAATAATAATTGATTTTAAGCTTTTACTTACATAAATATTTACAAAGTTAAGCAAAATATAACTAAAAATGTAAATGCTTTATATTTTCTATCATTTCCGTGTATTCATCGAGATAAATGCACGAATTGCGACAGCAAAATGTTTCACACCAGTGGTCGGCAACGTTTTTGAAGCAAAGAGCCATTCTTAAGATATTTACTTTTTTGTGAAAATAGTATATGGAGCCGCACGTAGCATTAAGATTGATATTTTTACTTGTGAATGTACCATTATAGACCGACCTGAAATCCGTATTTTTTTTTTATAAAAAGAGCTGCATACGACTCCGGAGCCGTTTCCTACATTCTTTTCATAAATTCAATAAATTGTATGAAAAAAGTATAATTTTATATTGAAGTTATTACCTTTTTTAATGCAAACCTTTATTCAGAATTGCCATTTTATACCAGGGATCAGCAGTGTTCTTGAAGCAAAGAGCCTCTTTAAAGATACCGTCTTATAAAAATAGTTTAGAGAGCCGCACGTATCATTGCGGTCGCTATTTTGACTAGTGAAATAATTTTCCAATATAACCATCAATGGTCAATTTTTCATCAAAAATGCCTTGTCCAACTCCGAAGACTCAGAATTCAATAAATTGTATGAAGTACAATTGAGAATTACCGTTTCTTTGAAAGATATTTTATACTAGTGGTTTGCAGGCATATTGAAGCAAAGAGCAATAGTCTAAGGAGCCGCACATAGCATTAATATCTGTATTTTTACAAGTGAAATAATTTTCCAATATAACGATTTGATAGCTGCAATTTCTCATCCGCATGCGGCTCCGAAACCGTTTTAGACAATATAAACTTTTAATAAATTCAATAAAATCAATAAAAAAGTACAATTTTATATTTATTATACCTTTTTATTAGTATTTATGTAACTTTATTATTAATTTCAATTAAAATTTCCAATAATTAAACTTTTAGCTATTAATTACAAAGTTGTATAAAATATAGCTAAAATCTAACATATCTATATTTTCCTCTTATTTCCATGTATTCATGACCGAAAATGTACGAATTCTATCTATATAATCGGAATTATCTTGTTACGATAATTGCCTTTGTTACATTATAATTTAATGGGAATTTCCCAATTACAATCGACTTGCTTAGAACGAAATTGGGCTATTCAATATGTAATAAAATGCAGTTTACATTTTCAATTATTGAAATGTATTCGTTTCATACTTCATATTAAATTTAAATATATTTTCATTAATGAGTAGCTTCAATTATTTTAGACGGACACCATTTATTTGTTACAGAAATTATAGACTCTTAACCGTCAGTTTAGGAAACTTCAATTGGCCTTGTATACAATTTTGCATACTTTTTAAAGGATGTGGCGGATATATCCGCCGATCGTTTCATTTATCTCATACAGTGGAACTCATTAAGATTACAATACATTTCTAAATGAAAAAAAAGTAACTAGTTTTAATATCGCAGTTTACATGATGATTTACGATGTGAACGCAGGATCAATAAATTGCATTAAACATTTCGCATCATACGAGGAACGTTTTGCCGCTGTTAATGATGATGCTCTTACCTCTAATTTACTCTCTGCTACCTTCCGCATCCTCCAACCAAAGAGATATGCAGAGACACAAAAACAGGTCCGAAACAGAATTAACGCGTTCACAGGAATACTGTTGCGAATTGAATTTAAACGAGCCAATTTGCACGAGGATTCTTATTTAAATATTTACATGTAGAAGTCGTTTCATCTACTCTCTTTATCCTACATACTGGGTATTCCGATATTCCTGTCTCCGTTGCGCTTTCGTTGTGAACGCACGTCGTGTCATAAACCAGACGACGTTTAATTGCATTCCATAATTACACGACTCGTTGAAAATTCATTAAAAAGTATGTATATACGTACAAAAACATTGCAAACTATATTTCCTACTTGTGCAATTTGTTACCGAGTTCTTTTACTTTTATTTTTACCTACATTTTATTAGACGATTATACTGAAATTTAAATGCTGGAATTTTAATATAATTACTTACTTGCAAAAGAATTTAGTTTAAGAACATTATTTGACTATTGAAGAATAAGCTAATAAATGTGAAAATTTCTATTTGTAATTGAATACTTTTTACTTGAAAGTATATATAAATTTTGAAGTATTAATTTTTATAAATATTTGGTAATACTTTATTAAATTTACCTGTAGAAACTAGAACCAATTCTACTACTTGGTAAAACATTTAACCTTCCAAATATTATCTTCTTAAAATGTTGTTTAATTTTTATTGGGTAAAAAATTACAAGTTTTTACAGATCTACAAAAATGATGTAAATTTATTTTTTAATATTTATCATCAATAATATATAGGATAAGCAAATATTACTGAAGTTTACGTTTGTTAATTATTTTTCTCTAAAAAAAATAAAAAAGTATTAAGTATGATATTCACTAGGCAAGTACTTTCCAAGTATTGTGTAGTTACATCATTCCAAAATAGAAATATTTATAGTCTTCAGAGATTATTTTACAAATACTTGTGATTCCAGATATACTTGCCAATGATCATGTACATGAATTGATAAAATTATTTCCATATAATAAATATAATTAGGATCAGTACACACTCTTCGTAACTTCGTATATTCCTATATATAAATTACTAGTTACTTGTCAAATATAGTATACTGTTTTAAGTTTAGTAGTATTCAAGATTATTTAATACTTCAAGTGACTTTTAGTTGAAGTTACTTGTAGTCAAATTATTAGTTATATTATTAAGCTTACTTTTCTCATACATTACTAATTAAAACGATATAGAATGAATAATTTATGAGGTTTTTGTCATGAACAATTAATATACTTTTAAAGTATAAAACGATTCTTATCTTATCAATATACTCACTAACTACTTGTAACTTGTCAAGTAGTAAATTGTACCATTAATTGCTAAAGAAATCTATCTGGATATTATTTTGGTTCAGAGAGATTGGGTTCAGTTGTGTACTTATTTTTATATTAATATAATTTACTTGGTATTACTAAAATTGCTTCAAAACGCAAATTTTACTATCTGATTGTTCTTTGTAAAACATCCAAAGTAATTTTACCTTATATTTTTCTTATTTATTGTACTTTTAGTAAGAGTAATGTGTAATTAATTAACGTAATTAGTAGTCGGCATAGTTTATTTATATATTCATTACTATAAAATGTTCGTTACATAATTGCGTTTTTTAATTGTAATGAATACAGAATAAGTAATTAAAGCGTTTATCCTAAATGTGAGCAGACGAAACAACTGACGCCCATTCAAAGTGACCTTTGCTAATGGCATTATTGATTTTGTTGATGGCGAATGGCAATCATGAAGAAACACACTAGTTGTTGTAGTATATTTGGTCCGTATGGATGAGAGTCGGAAACAATGGGGTCGACCAGCATTGATCTCTCTCTCTCTTTCTCTCTGCAAATGCGTTTTGTTTTAATGAAAACAATAACTTACCAGTGAAAATCTTTTATTCCAGTGCCTTTTGTAAATGGAAAATGGGATGGTCTGTTGTGTCACGGATGGATGAACTATGTGCCAGGGCGCATATGCACCCTCCTCCACCCCTCTTTGAATCGACGCCCCAAAACTGTTTGTTCCGAAACCCCGTTTCAACCCTCATCGCAGATATCACAAACTTGTTGTCCCGGCCAACCCAGTTGCACCGAGAAGGTCAGTACATTATTAAATTAAAGCTATTCCAGACGTTTAAATCCAACCGTATTTACTGATTAAGTTACTAACAACAATATAAGTTTTTAACAGTCTTCATTAGTTATTATGTAAAATATCATTACATAACAACTCTGCTTATAAAAATGATTACGTACATTAGTTTTTAATTTATATGATAACTTTATTTACAGCAAAGTAATAATAAAATGGAAGGAAAACTTAGGGCCATAAAAAAATAGTCAATTAATTAAATAAAACTGATTTTTTGTATCATAAAAATTTTAACAAAATTTCATTCAAATACAAATTTTCACGTTTATTGTTTAAAATTTATTATAATACCTCACATAATCAAGATTCAATCAGTTTGATTCGGTTTGACAATTTTTAAACAAACTAAATTTTATTTGAGCAAATAAAAGTAAACATTCAAAAAAATTAGCACACAATTTTTTTTCTTTATCTATGATACTTTTTTATTTCTTTATATAATCAAGTCTCTTTTTGTACGTTTTATTGTTATGCGGTTTTAGAATCCGGGATTAGTCCGGTTTTAAACAGTATTGATATAATTGATTAGCCGCACTATACGAGGCTGTACATGTGATTACTGTTTTGTTACATAATAATGAAGATAGATTTTATTATCGATTAATTCGTCTAAATGTAAATGCGATGAATAATTTCGGAGTTGATGAGAGCTTCGCACGAGTTGAAAATGGATTATCTAACTTTGAAAGTGGATTATCCTCATTAAAATTGGATTTAGAAAAAACATTTTTAACTAACTACAACAAAATATAAGAATAAATTATTGTCTTTATGATTATGTTATCAATTATATTATATGTATCAAATTTTGGAAAAAATATGCATATTTTCTATAAAAATAAATTAAATATTTTCTTTTTATTATTTATTAAGGCATTTTTATTAGTCCTCATTTGGACTATCGAAATATGTATTTCTGCCCAATTTTTCTCATTTGTCTCTATTCAGCATATAATTATGATTTCCCTAATAGAAAGAGAATAGATAGAATAGATCAATAACAATTTTAGATTACTTACTTACACCTGATTTAGCTTTCTTTAATTCCCAGGAATTAGTAATTGTGGTTACATAACTTTCACTATAGCATGATTAGTTAAAATGTGTAATCTAGTCATTTTAGTTAATAACTTTCATTGAAATTTAGATATCTAAATATGTTTCATCTCATCTCAACTCATTCATATGATATTTTGCCTTTTTTTAATACCCGGGAAATAGATAACGTGATTAAATATGATTAATTGAAGTGTGTAAACTAGTAATTTTAGTTAAAACCATTAATTGAAATTTACATATCAAAATATATTTCTTCTCAGCGCATACATGTGAATAACGTTTTGCTTGATTTAACTTTCTTTCAATTCCCGGGAAATCCGGGAAATAGTAAACGTGGTTAAATATGCTTAATTATTTTATGATTAGTTAAAATGCGTAAACTAGTCATTTTAGTTAATAACTTTCATTGAAATTTAGATATCTAAATATGTTTCATCTCATCTCAACTCATTTATATGATATTTTGCCTTTTTTTAATACCCGGGAAATCCGGGAAATAGATAACGTTATTAAATATGACTAATTAATGTGTGTAAACTAGTAATTTTAGTTAAAACCTTTAATTGAAATTTTACATATCAAAATATGTTTCTTCTCAACGCATTTTATACATGCGAATAACGTTTTGCTTGATTTAACTTTCTTTCAATACCCGGTCAATTCCCGGGAAATCCGGGAAATAGTAAACGTGGTTAAATATGCTTAATTATTCTATGATTAGTTAATATGTGTAAACTAGTCATTTTAGTTAATAACTTTAATTGAAATATAGACATCAAATTATGTTTCTCCTCAGTGCAATTGTATTCACATGAAGAACGTTTTACCGGATTTAACTATTTTTTTAATTTCCGGGAAATACTAGTGGTTAAATATCCTTAAATATTCTATGATTAATAGAAATAATATCTTCGGTACTGTTTCTTTTCAGCGCAACTTATTTATACGATTTATCGTTTTTTCTTTAATTCTCTTGAAATTCGGGAAATAGTAGCTCAAATATCCTTATACTATGTTTAATTAAAATGTGTAAACTAATCATTTAAGTTAATAACTTTAATTGAAAATGAAAATTAGCTATACAAATCTGCACAATTTCCAGAAAGCTTCTTCGCAATTTTTTTTTAAAGATGTTAAGATACCAACGCAGCACGTAATTTATTGTATATTATCGCGGATTGCAAATTCAAATTATCCAAAAAAAATAATGAGAGAGAGAGGAAAAAAATAAACTGAAGCATTTCCCGCAAATTGCCGGGCGTAAATCACGGTAATTGCCGTAATTTGCGTGTGTTTCAGTTTCAAGCATTTGCATACGGTCCCTTTTTCTCCATATATTCAGAGTTTCCTCCTTATATTCACTTTTTCTTCTTATATTCGTTTTTTTTTGTTCATTTCATTTGCATTTTGAAGAAAAAGATTCAAATCTTTCATTCTTACTTTCCATTTTCTTGCTTTCGAATAAGCAAACATCTCGATCATACAGAATTCATTTCCACCTTGACCCAGAGAAAATGTTAAATCTGAGAATAAATAGAGGAACATGACGAGGCGCAATCTGCAGATGACCTACCCCAACAAGAAAACCGTAAGATTAATGACATCGCTGTCGCCGATCCGCCGCGTCTCTTCTACTTGCACGTATATATATTTATACACAAGGCGCCCAGGAAATGCCACGAGTTCTTTGCGTTTATTGTTATTTTAATTCGTCCATCCATCTTCCAAAAGACTTTTGGTAACTGGTCTATATCAAAATCCCGACAATGAAATTCCCGACATTTGTAATAGCGACATAGTAAAAATCTCGACAAATATAATCCCGACAGTGTAAAAATTAAAGCAGTGTTAAAAACCCGACAGTGTTAAAATCCCGACACTCAAAATCTGAACAGCATCAAAATCCTGAACATTTCTAATATAAATTCTTTCTTATTAATGCGAGGAACGCATGCAACTTTGTCAATGCGTCATGGTTTTTTGTACTTAAGTATATGTTTATACAATAAGACGTATAGTGTAAGAGACTTTGAGGATGTCTATTATACATAGTTTGTTGGTTACAACAAACGCTCATTTTTAAATGTATTTGTTTTAAGTCTATATCTAATAATAAAAATTACTGTCGGGATAAGGTTTTTAGTAAGCGGTCTATATCGAAATCACAGCAATTGAAATCCCGACAATCAAATTTCTGACAGTGTTAAAACTCCGACAGTATCAAAATCCCAACAGGATAAAAATCCCGACATTATCAAAATCCCGACAATCAAATTTCCGACATAGTGAAAATACCGACAGTGTTAAAATCCCGACAGTATCAAACTCCCGACATTATCTAAATCCAAATATTTTAGAAGATTTTGGCAATCCTTTCTCTTTAATTTTTCCCATTCAACAAATATCATTTACGTTTCTTTGTACTTATGTATAATTGTCGGGATTTTGATCCGAACAGTTTGTCAAAATGTGGGAGATGGAGACGGTTTCGTACCGGAAGAGAAGGCGTCGTCTGGTGTCATGTTCTCTCCTGTTTTTATTTTTAATTTATTTTTTGTCATTCATTCTGTAGTTTAAATTAATAATGAGGAGCTGTGGTGTAGGATTGGTCCCCAGCATTTGAATAGTAATGAAGCTCAATTCGTATCAAGGATGTCGCAAATTTATGTCTCTCTCCGGGTCGGATGAATGTGGTGTAGCTAACAACTCCCACGAAACTAAGAATAACACTGATGTCATGGTCTCGGCGTTTGGCAGAGCTCATGCACACATTGGCGACAGAAATATAAAAGAAGTACTTGCTCCTCGTTCCCTGTGCCTCCTTCGACCACCCACCCCACTACTATTCACAGTTTTTATCACGAAGACAGCAGATTTACACTCGGTATTTTCATCTTAAGTTTGCTTTACGTATATGAGTATAAACGACACAAGAGATATCCAAACCATAAGATTTAAATAGTACATAGTTATTTGTCATTTACTAACAATGATGTTGAAGTCCATTCATTCTACAAGATGTCTATAGTAAGTTAACATATTTAACATAAATATTTCATATTGTTCAATAAATTATATAAATAATCACACAAAAATTAAAATTAACAACTCTTATTTTGTTTTTAGACAAAAGTTAAAATTAATTTATTGCTTTATCTCTGTTAAAATGTGTGCACATCTATGTTTTTTTTGCATATTTTACTTTTTTTCAGAGATTTAGTTTAAAAATTGGATAAACTGTCATAAAATTTTCTAAATCTATAAAGAGTCAATAATATCAATAGCTTCTCATAAATGAAATTGTTGCAATTTATTGTGAAATAATATAAAATAAACGAGAAACAAGATGACAAAATATTATATGAAAGTCAGAAAAAAAGTAAAACTAATGAGAATTTACGAGTTTTTCTTCGTTTAACAATGACTGAAAATTATTTATTGTACATATTTATTTTTTGATATATTTTGCATTTTTTTATACGAAAAAATAAGTTTTAAATATCAATAATACTGGAATTCCTCGAGGATTTACACTGGAGCCGATTTCTTTCCATCTAACTAAAGTTTGGATATTTCAGAATAATTTCAGAACTTCAAGAAAATATTATATCTTTGATTGAAGATAAAATAAGCAAATTGGATAAAAGGACAATAATTTACTTTTAATACGTAGATATTTTTCTTGACAAATTGGTAAAACTGGTCAAACTTGGACTTTTAATATATTTGAATATAGAAAATAAATAACTTTGTTTTCAAAATAGTTTGGTATTTGCAAAGTAATTGAAACAGATTAAATTTGTAATAGATATAATTATTCCTAATCCGATATAATTAACGTATAAATTTCCAATAAATTCATGGCGAAATCGATCAGAATAATTTAGTTTACACCATTTTCTGTTATTATTATTCTTCAGTTCTAAAAAAGAAATACAAGGTTATGAGTTAAGAACGGAATTCAAAATCTCGCCTTGGGCATAAATAATTCCATCTTTGCTTTAATGTATTGTAATTTAATTTGATTTAAAACTGTATATTTTGCATTATTACACGTTATTGGAATATACTTATGCTTGAAGAACGCCTTTGGTGCTAACTATAGATGCTCGTCGTCTCGGATGACACCGTTACGGATATATAGGGGTAGGCTCTAGGTGCTCGTATTCCTTGATTATAGTAAGGCTTTCGATGCCATCAATTATAATTTGATGCTTGCTATGCTACATTACGTAGGTCTTCTGCGACTTCTTGCCACTTGATTGAGTCCTATTTATGTGGTCGTAACCAGATGGTCGATATAGACGGATGTACGTTCTACTTACTAAATATTACGTCCTATCTTCTGCAGCAGCAAAACAAGAAATCAATTCATATGAGACTTATAAGAGACCTGAAAAGATAGACTTTAAGTCTTTCAAGCCTATTTGAACAATATATCCCAGCAAAAGTTGTCTAAATACGATATCTGTTAAAACATAGTATGTCCCAATAAAAAAAGTAGAATATTTGTTTATAGAAGTTTGAATGGATCGTGCCTTACTTGATAAGTACTTCCAAAGTACTTCAAAAGTATTTGTCAATTTTAAATAATATATACATAATTTTGAGCATAATAGCTCACGTCAATATCCCAAACTGATTAAAACCGGACTAATCGAGGAACTACATAAAATGGAAATAAACCGTACAAATCGAAGAACAAATTACAACAGAAATAAATTATAGAAATGCAAACTTTACTGTATAATAATTTGGTGTACAGTTTTTGCAGCAGCAAAATAAGAAATCAAGCCTATTGTGACCTTATATCCCAGCAAAAGTTGGATAATACGATATATATTGGGCATCCTATGTCCCGATAAAAAAATAGAATAAATTACTATAGAAGTTTGAATGAATCGTGCCTTACTTGATAAGTACTTCCAAAATACTTCAAAAGTATTTGTCAATTTTAAATAGTATATACATAATTTTGAGCATAATAGCTCACGTCAATATCCCAGACTGATTAAAACCGGACTAATCGAGGAACTACATAAATTGGAAATAAGCCGTACAAATCGAAGAACAAATTACAACAGAAATAAATTATAGAAATGCAAACTTTACTGTATAATAATTTGGTGTACAATTTTTGCTGCAGCAAAACAAGAAATCAAGTCATATGAAACTTATAAGAGATTTGAGAATATAGACTTTAACTCTTTCAAGCCTATTGGAACAATATATCCCAGCAAAAGTTCGCTAAATACAATATCTGTTGGGTCATAGTATGTCCCAATAAAAAAAATAGAATAAATTGTTATAGAAGTTTGAATGGATTGTGCCTTACTTGATAAATACTTCCAAAGTACTTCGAAAGTATTTGACAATTTTAAGTAATATATAAATAGTTTTGTACATAATACTTTACGTCACTATCTCGGACTGATTAAAACCGGACTAATCGAGGAACTACATTAATTGGAATTAAACTGCACAAATTGAGGAACAAATTACAATAGAAATAAATCATAGAAATGGAGACTTGACTGTATAAGATTCGGTGTACAATTTTTTTAGAATTAATTTTTTATTTTTTTAATGAAAACTTAGTTAATTTTTTTAAATTTTCAAACCGTACAATAGTGAATTCGAACTAATGGAATACGCACTATCTGAGGTATCGTTGTATATATAATAATTTATTTTTTTTTACAATTATTTATGTAATTGTTCAAATAAGAAAACGATAAAAAAAAATAGAGAAACTTTTAAAATTATTTATTATATTTTTTTTTGTTATTTAATTTGGATTCGCCGATAGACGAAGTGGATCAATATAGATTTTACAAGATCAATGACAAAATTGCATAAAAATACTTGTGATTCTTGTAATGAAATTTCATTTCCAATTTTTTTTGTCTGTTGATTTGTTAATTCTGCTTGAATTTCCATGTCACTCCTAACCGTGGTATATATTGATTGTTTACGTAACGCGCGGAATAAATTTGAATACGTTACGAGCGAATATTAGGTTCTGGAGAGCGAGACGCATGTTCACAGAAAATACGTCGTGTTTGTTGTTTTTGCATTGGAATTTCTACATTTGTTGTTTATTGATCTAACCGAATCCTTGATTACAAATATAATATAAAAAAAGCAGTTGCATAATTAAAACTAAATTTGTTATTCAATTCCACACGAAAATTAAATTTAAAAAAACAAATGCAATTTAATAAATGTTTCTGTTTTGTTTACAGCTTTACTCTAGTAGTTTTTTTTTTATCAAAATTCCAAAAAATCAAATCATAAGTTCTAACAAAAATGAAAAGTTTGCATAATTGTTATCAAATACTTCTTTTCGAAGTTTTTTCATTTTGTAAATTTTTAAGAAGTGCACTTGTACTGTTATTTGATCTATATGTTATATAAGTTTTTGCGATTTCAAAATAAAAACAAAAAAAATCCACAATTGTTATGAAATAGTTTTTTTTTTGTTTCTTCTATTTTTTGGTATATTTTTAGTAATATATTTCATCATCAAACGTGAAGTTGTTATATTTTTTAAACAACAACAAATAACTTAACATGTCTAATTATATTAAATTTACTTTCAAACTTAACTTTCACTAATTCTTTACTTAAATTCATAATACAATTAGAATAGAATAATTCTAATTATTATTTAAAATATGTTGTATATAATTAATGAAATATATTTGTAGAGTGGTATTACATAAGAAAATTATTAAATTTGAGGAAAACCAATCTTTGAAAAAGCTTCAAGACAAATATTTTCTAACAAAATATTTATTATATATCGTTAGAAGTAATAAGTACATATTTTTAAATTGGAGTTCAACTGGGTTCCATTATACGTTCTATGAGAAATATCATTTAACAATAATTCTAATATAATGATTGAACTATGTGAAATTAACAATTAACTAAAGTAATGTGAAAATTAATTTTCTGATTAGATTATTAATACTTAAAGTTTTATAAGACTTCTACAAAAATCATAGTTTACTAATTAAACTACTAAAGTAATGTAAAATTGAATATTGTGATTAGAATATTTAATTTATTAATTATCATATTTCAAATTAATTAGAGACGAAATAAACACATAATTTTATAGTTAATTGTTTTTTTGTGTCGTATAATTTTATTTACAATCTGTTCATCAATGTAAACATTGAGTAAATTTAAGATCGTGGTTGACATTAAATGGATAATCTTTCCCGGTGTATAGTTACCATTATGATCATTTGATTTTTTTAATTTGTTGGTTGGCTGTCGTCTTGTAGGTTAACTTCAGTAGTATATTGATGCTATGCGATTCCACTATTTTCTTTCACTGTGAATCTGCTGCTATCCTTAACACAGTCATTGTCCATCGACTTGGCTGAAGGTCCATATGCTGAACCTAATTCATCTGTGATGCAAGCACCTAGAGGGCTCACTTGATCTGGACTGGCTTGACCATTCGGCTATTAGTTGCCCTATAGTTAATATGAAACAATTAGTAAATTGTAGTATAATTATAGAAAATATACTTAAATTTAAAGTTTTTCAAGACTTGTATAAAAATCGTAAAGTTTAGTTCTTGAAATAACTGGTGATTAGAAAGTAAAAAGAAAGGAGTTCCTCAGGGTTTCATTCTATGTACTTTGATGAATATTTTTTTTAAAAGTAATTAAATTGTTTTGTCGAATTCAATCTATATTTTTTTTCCAATTTAAATATATTAAATCATAATTTTTGGATGGGAAAGGGAAAGAAAAAAGTCCTATTGATCAATCATTATTGTATATATTTAACAACCGTAAGGAATAAACTTATTTATTGAATTATAAAAATATAGAAAAAAATGTTATAATAACCGAAGGAAACACATTAGTTGTTTTAGAATAATACTAATTAATTATATAAATAAAATTAAATAGTCTTGTTCAATATATTTTATTAATTAAACTAGGCTTGTCTAGCCTACATGCAGCCCAACATAACAATCCTAATTCGTTAACTATATATAGTCTTAATGGCTCAAAACAACTCGTTTTCTTTTATTGAGACTCTAACTAAGCAACCCTAATTTATTTATTTTAATCCTTTGTTCTCTGACGGTACTTATAAGTACCGGAACTTTTATGTTATTATTTAAGTTATAAAGAGAAACAGAAACAAACCTAAATACTTGAAGATACTTTAATGTAATCTTTATATAGTATACCACAAAGATTTGTTTTGCAATTGGAAGTGCAAGTGAGTATAAATCTATATTCAATACATTTGTCACTTCTCTATCGGGTATTTTTTATGTTGAAACAAAAAAACAAATTGCATAGCATAATTCCATGAAAAAAGTTTATAAAATAATATTGTTACTAAATATACATATGAACATTGATCCGTTTTTGTAATCTAAATCACTATCATTGACTTATACGATTTAAGCTTAAATTGCCCGACTTTACCATAAAGTACCTCACATTGTTTTCATTGAAAAAATTGCTGAAATTTAATAAAAAAAAATATAGGGTTAAATTTAATTTGGGGAAACTATAGAATTGTTTCTTTTTATGTAACAAGAATAACTACAAATTTAGTTATTGATTGGTGTAATTATTATACAAAACTAATTTCCTACATGACAGAACGTTTACCCGAAAACCTGAATCTCCTCGACCTGATCCAAATCGATCACCGATGGGTAAACTCATGTCTGCATTCCTCTAAAAATCCATCCTTTTTTATTCCACTCTTATATCTTTTCTTCCTCGTCGCCGTAAGAATGGGAATCCGGTATTAATCACGGTTTTTGTTTTTGCGTTGCAGAGCATAGCAGTCGTCTCCGGCAGTTTCTGACCCGGGGTTTTCGGGGCTCCTCGATTAATAAAAAAAAGAACATGGTCAAAAAAGGCGAACAACAACAACAACAAAAAAGAAGGTACACCGTCGGCCGTGTGCACAGAACTGGTTTCGGCGAGAGCCCGAACCGATTGACCGATCAGGAATTCGAGAAATCCCAAGAAGTCCGCTGAATTTCGCCACGGAAAGCTCGATTTATACCGCAACAATTGTGCTGCAACAATAACAAACGACGGACGAGGAAATTGCCAATCGAAAATGGCTTTTTTTTTGGGGTAAGTACCATAAATATTTTTGTACAACTTGAAAAAATATACACAAACATTAGACGCGTCAACAAATTGATCGAAAACTCTTTTGAAGTCCGTTTGTTTCCAACTTAACTTTTCTGGATTGCTGCCAACGCTCTACCAAATAATTGAATATTCGAAGATAATCTCAATCTTATTTATTTACACTTCATTTTTTATATTTTAACTGGCGCTTTTTCATCTTCCCGCTAATTGAAACTTCTGGATGTTTGTGCAAACCAAATTAGTTATTTTACATACATTTTACACACTCAGTTTGTTATTGATTAGCGGAGTTTTAACGAGAGAGTAAAGAAAAAATTAACCGTTTTCACATGCAAACGAAAAAAAATGAAATTTTCGTATTGAGCAATTAAAAAAGTAAAAGAAAAAACCGAAGCTGAGAAATTTTCAAAGGATAAAAATGAAGCTTTTGTAACATTAAACAAACCTTTCAGAAATCCATAAATTTTTATAATTATTAAAGAAAAAAAAACTAATGAGTGTTCATAATTGCGCTATTATGCATATTATTTCCGTGTGCTACTTTTTTTCCTTTTATCCTCGAATTAATAAGCGTTTAAATATGTATACAATGCGGTTAATCCTTGAAAATTACATTTGAATGTTGTTGTTTTTATGATCTACACCGTTCATTCCTGTATGTTTGTGTGTGAATATATATTTTTTTTTGTTCTGTAAATGCAATTCCGCAAAATGTGCATGTGCACATCTGTTTTCTTCCTTGATTTATGAAACGAGTGTATAAAAAATTGCGCTCGTAAAACAAGTCGCATTGCCTGCGTTCGACCATTGTCTGGCATCAGTGGTCTTCAAACTTTGTCAACTTCACAAAATACTTTAAATTATATACGTTTCTTGCATGCAAAATGTGGAAAATATCATGTGAAAATTTATGACAATTTTTATTTTATAATTAGATGAATCATTGATAACAAACTAAATTAGTGTTATTTCTTAAGACATTTCATATTGTACAATATAAATATAAAGAAATATCTCGTATAGTGCGGGTTATATAGGTTCCGGACTATTTGAAACAGGACTAAGCAAGGACGTTAAAACCGCATACAATTGAATAATAGAAAAAGTGACTTAAAAAAATATTTTGTGAATTTATTTTCACATTTTATCCACTAAAATTTAGTTTGTTTTAAATTTTCAAACCAGATTATAGTAAATCCGGATTGGTTGATGCCGCACTATGCAAGGTATTGTTGTATTAAGTTTTCTTACATTTTTTGATAAAATTAATTAAAATCTTTACTATATTGTAAAGAGTTCGAAAAAACTAGTTAATTCAAAAAGTTTTTCGAATCTGATTAAATTAATGATTAATTACTAATTTGCAAAAAAAAAACAAATATTTTATTTAAATTTGTTACCAAAATTCATGAAACTAAAAGAAATGATTAAAATTTAAAATTTTTGGATTTTTTTCTTTACAAAAAGTCTTTAATTTTTTTTTTGTAATTACACTGAATTAATTATATTTTTTTGTAAGAAAAAGTATTTCGAATTGTACATAGCATTAATTATACATCAATGAAGTACTCAAGGAGATTCGGTTAACGAACTGTTTGGATTTGCGAACATACCAGATAATGATCACCTTCGCAAAAGATAAATTGTTCGGACAATAAACATATTCGGATAACGAACACTTTATTAATTGTCGTTACTTTTGAGTGCCAACGTTAGTGTTGATATGAAGTATAAACCGCTCCTTAAAACGACGTTTGGTTAACGTACAATTCATTTAACGAACAATTCGGTTAACAAACTATTAAAATATAGTTAACGAACATTATCTTTGAACGAATTAAGTTCGTAAACCGATCAACAACTATATAGAATCTTGTTATATCACAGTTTTAAGACCACTGGTCCACAACATATCTTTTAAAAAGAATAAAGAGTAAGGATGCAGTTGATTCACTTTTTGGATGTGCAACGCAGTTCACGATTCATTAATACAACTTTTTTCTTTATATTGTTCTCTTTTTTTTTGTCTTTGTTGTTTTGTTATTCAAATGTGCTCATTGTAGTTGAAACTAATGAGTCACGCAGGCCGTGAGCATAGTCTAAAAATAATTTTGGCGCCTTCCACTTTACATTAATTGTGTTTACGAACGATTTAATACTGTTAATGGACTGTTTACGATGCGCGAATACCAAAGATTATTAATCATTTCCAAGTTATTCTGTTAATAGATTCAATCAAATTTAGCATTGATCATTTCAATTTATTTAATGTACCGACAATTTTTGAATGATCTTGAATTTGCGCAAATTTTTTTATTAATTTGTTTGTGAAAGAATGAAACAATTCCAAAATAGCATTTTTGAATGCTTTTGCAAAATATTGCAAGTAAAATATATCTAATTTTGCAAAAATGAGCAGCATTTTTAATTCAATTTTAATACAATAAATGAAACTACTAAAACTCTATTTTTATTTCAACTTTTACAAGATATTGCATATTTTTTTTATAATGAAGTGAAACATTTCTGATATAAATTTAATTACAATAAATAAAATTCTAGAACTTCTGCAAAAAAATTGTATAATATTTTATTGCAATTTATAAAGATGAAAAATATTACTGATTTCCATTAAATTATTTTGGATATAAATAAAAATCTTGCAATTTAGTACATTATAACTTTTTTTAATTAATTTCTGTTTGAATTCGAAAATATTTGATTTCATTTTTTTAATCGTCAATTTAAAAACCCGACAACCCAAATACTGTCAATCAAAATCCTGAGGTTCGAAATCCCGACAACCATAATCAATAACTAAATGGAAATGGTTGTCGAGATTCTGATACAGTCGGGATTATAGTTGTCGAGATTTTAATATAGTCGGGATTTCGATACAATCGGGATTTCAAACGTCGTGATTTCGATAGACGGTATTTCGGTTGTCGGGCGGCCATATAGACCCCATTAATACATGTATGCTTGAATTTTCTCGTGTTTATGATTTTATTAAAATAAAGAAAATATTTATGAACATTTGATATGGGATTATACTTTATAATTGTATGAATTATATTAATAAAACGTTTATGAGAAATAGGTTCAAATTTCCAAGGTTAATTTATTAAACAATTCAAGAATTTGATCATTTTATATTGATTACAGTTAAAAACGCAAAAGTTATTCGGAGTTGAACATGCGACCTTGTAAAATGTGTTTGTAATGTGTAGTAAAAAATGTATATTACAATCAATTTTAAATGGTTTTAAGGGCAAATAAATTAACAAAAAATATTTCATTATTGATTCTATTCAGTAATGGATTAAAATGATACATGAAATGTGCAGTAAAAATGTTTACTACAATAAAATTTAATTGATTTTACGGGTAAATAAGTTAATAATTTATAGACAATGAAATATTTCATTTATTGATTTTGTTATGTAATGGATTGGAATAATATATGAAAAATTAAATGATACATAAAAAGTAAAAGAAAAGTTACAGACACACCAGGCAATAGACATAATCTTTTTTGTATTGCATTTTAATAATAAATGTTTAATATGTGCATATTTACATGAAATTTACTTTAAAGTGGTTTAAAACATGATAAAAGACAACATTAGAATTATGTTGATATTTCTTTTTAAAATATTTCAAATGCCAATAATAATTGCTTCCTATAATGTAAATATGTTTTAGCGTTACTTAAACTTCTTATATTCTATTCGTTACACAATAATTATTACATATTATATAATATGTATGCATCTATATTTCAAAAAAATCTTCGATTTAAATGGATTTTTCTGGATTTTTGTTAATTTTCCATACTCAATAATACTGAGATTTAAAAGGTGAATTCATAGTGTCGGGATCATAAAAATCAGTAAATTATCCGGGATTTTGCTCCCGGGAAATTCACTACTTTTTGTATTCACATTATAACAAATTACTGAATTTTACAAGTAAAAAATACGATTTTTAGATTATAATAAAATTAGTACAATACAATAATTATTATATGATTTGAAATATTCTCTATTGTTATCAATAATTGTAATATTAATTATTCAAAACTGAATTTGATATCGCAGACTGTATAGTAGTTACATGCATATTTATTAGAGCTATTTACAATTAAAGGTGTGTGCAGGTATAACGATATTCATGCATGTTCATCTTACAATATCGCATAGTTCAGGATTATAGTTAATCTGCTATCGTTATACCAAATGCAGCCAGCGCTCGACTTGCACTTAAGCGCTCTAAATTAAGTTTTATGAGAACGTAGTGTTGTTAACTCGCACAGTTCATTAAGTACAACTGTAGCAGATTGATCATAACATTAATTAAAATAATTATAACAATATTCACTCGACTTCAACTACTAGGAACAAATAAATAAAAAGTACTATGGGTCAAAATGACCCGTTTATAAAATATATCAAAAATTGAACATATTATTGATTTTTACACATGAAAACAAATATTAATTATTATCATTATCAAAGTTATTCCACTTTGAAATCCAAATGTTGATGATATTTAAAGAACTGTTTACTTTAGATGGGTCACTTTGACCCATCCGTAGTACTTACGGGTTAATTTCCTTTGTCAGTTCAAAAAGTCTGTAATTAAGTCTGTAAGAAAATAAAAAACAATAATAACAACTTTGGTCTTTCAGCTCTAGTATTTTTTTAAATTTTACATAATTATAAACAATATGAAAACAAGTTTCTATCTTATGAAATAAATATTTCATATACAAAATAATGATGGAAAAAGGAAAATTGGTAATAGTAAATAGAGATTTCTGTGCAGTATTTGGATGTGTGTCGTTGTTTGTAACACGAACACGAAGCACACATCATCCATCACGTAATCCATCACAACCCGATGTTTCTTTGGAAAGGCTGTCAAAATATTTTGCTGCTCTTTCTAAAAGCATAATATTTATACTATTGTCACTACCATTTTGTGACTGTTTCATGTATATAAATATAAGTACGAATAAAGGCTATCAATCCAATAAAAATAATATTTTAACATAAT